AAAAAGTCAAGAGCCATATAAAGATACCCGATTTTTGTTAGCGGCGGAAGATGCGATGTCTGGAATAGAAAAGATGTTAAAAAAGTGTAAAACATTAAAAAATAGAAGAACATTGCCAAGGACATGGAAAGACTGTGATAAATACACAATGTTTTATAAAATTGCATAATTTCCATTATTACATTGAGAAGAGCGTGTCGTCGTTAATGGGTTATAAACATAGACCAAATACAATAATTGAACATTATTAAATTACTTAAATATTATATTATTATTCCAAAGGATTTGTGACCATTATAATTGTATCGATATTATTGTGCCTATTTATGTGATAATAAATTATGAGCTTGTAATTAATATAAAATTAATTAAATAATCAAATTAAATTATGTTGTAAAAGAAATGAAAATATTTAGATCGTATGATTTTGTCCAATCCTTGACTCAAGTTCGTTGATCTTTTAATATTCACGATTTACTTGAATGCCCGTCGTATAGAAAATATAAAATGAAAATTAGCTTAAGTATTCGTTCCAAAATTATACTTCACTCTTTGCGCTCACTGATATTGAAAACTACTTAAATAATCGCTTAACTTTTACAATTGTTCAAGACAGCCGAGTACGATTTTCTCTTGTTGTTAGATGGTAAAAATAGTTCGTCCTTACATAATTTCTTATATTAGAATTATAGTTGTAAATTATTGTCGATTTTATTCTTATATATTCTCGCCTTTAAGTTGAAAAAAATCTGAAAAGAAATTTCGAATTATAGTCTGCAAGGATGTTACATGAACACAAAAAAATTTTGAATGATCGTCACGTGACAGGAAAATTTTTTGGGGGTGAGCTGTGTAACTTTCTAATTAAAGCTGCCAGACAAAACAGTTTTATCATTCATCTAGATGAAACTATTTTGTCTTTCATCAGGCATCATTAACTGCGATAGTCATTTTGATCATAAAATTATCTAAAATGAACCAGTGGGTCAAAAGTTATTATTTGTCAAATATTTTAAAATATTTAATAGTAATTACCAATATGTAGCCAGCTACTAGTTGATAGTTGATAATAGCTGACTGAACCTTTACCTAGTTGAAACAATAAGAAAAAAATAAGCATAATTTAAATTAATATATTGAACTTAACAGTAACTCTCACTGATGATTTCTCGTACCGAAATTTTTGGAAAGAATCCAACTCAAAAAACAAGAAACCCGATATACAATACACCTGGTTAAATGAATGAAACCATAAGCCAGCACCTATCGTTTAGAGGTAGTTCTCATACGCTACCTGCTAGTAGACTTAGAGTTTATTACTTACTGCAGAGATGACAACTGTTGTTTAGAAGTAGTTCTTATAAGCACTTGCCGGCAGCTTTAGAGTTTATCACTTACTGAAAAGAAAATTCTCTTTGGGTTGAGTATATCAGGCCCTGGCTTTGGTAACTTCAACTCCTTTGTACCGAAAAGACTAAGTACAATAGCAAGAACCCTCACACATTACCCACTTGGTATAGCAACAACAAAATTTCGGAAAAAGTAGGCAAAGCAGCTTACCCCTGTCAAAGGATCAACATTGCTTACAGCTACCAAATTCAGATGATGTAGTGAAGTACAATCATGTACTCTGGCCAAATCTGGGAACAGTGCCACTATTTTGAACTGGACTACCTCTGGAATCTCTCGTGGGAGTTTTGAAGACACATAATAGTGGCAGCAACCACTTTAGAGACAGGACCCAGAGCTGTGAAGGCTAGAAACTTCCAATTTTATATGGTGGGATAAAATTAAGGCTTAGCTTTACATTAGAGATATGCAGATATTGTATCTGTTATATAATTTTTTACACAAACCTGGCACAGGTTATAATAGTGTGTGTTGGGATCTCCCAATCTTTTTTTATACTTTTTTCATCTTTGTTCATTTATGATGGAATCTTATTTAAAATATGTTCTCTGTGTATTCTATCTGGTTTATCCTTTTTTCTCCTAGATGTAGTTTTTCTTTCGTAAACATGGTATATATGTTCTTAGCTTGTAGAAAAGTAGGAGATAATTATTCTGCTCGGACCTAGGTGGGAAAATTTTTAAAGAAAGGATGGAAGATCCTGACACGGTATACAACAACCTGTCAAATGATCAAGGGGTATCTTTATGGTACAAAATCTGAAGCAAGTTTTGGTGAGACAAAAGTTGTTATAGCAGGTCGCATTGGGTAGTACTTTGTACTCTTGGTGAGTTTTTATTAGACTAGAACATTATTCTATAAAGATCATAGATACTTCGGTACTTTGTATCAAATAGTAGTTCAGATAAATAAAAGCAGGATCGCTTAAAATATATATATATATATATATATATTGAACTTAATTGTTTGTGCAAATGATACAGTAATGAAATAATTACAAAATAACTTTCAAATGATATATAAAATTAAATTGATTTTTTGCAAGATACTTGCTCAAACTATGAAATTTTCTTTTTTACAAGAGGAAATAGTTTGAGGATCACGGTTTCCTTTACTTTATTTAAAATAGTGCGTGACCTTTTAGCTTGATTAAACCTACTCGTTTATACTAATTGACAAATTCGATTTGAACGTAGATATAGCTAGCACTTTTTTTAATACATGACAAATCTGTATTACAGTTATTATCATACAAGAAGGAAGTCAATCGTGAGATTAAAGCAATTTTGATGCACTATATCTTGTTATAAATTTATCCAAAGTACGATATTGGGATCTGACATTTTAGTAATCATCTTTGATTTCTTGTAAGAAAATGTCAACCCCGTATTCTGCTCAACCGAAAAACTAAGCTTCTTCAATCTTGTTCAACTGAACCATCAACTTCATTCTGTTTAACTGAAAAATCATCGCTTTATTCATTTTGTATGACTAATTCACTTGTAAAATTATTAATTTAACAATAAAAAAAGAAAAAAAATTTTGCATACTTTGAAGCTACTTCCAACATTTTATTAGATGATTCTGATTCTGTAAATGGTCTTGCGAAATAGAACTAGGCTGTAAATGAATTGCTTTTTGTGACTTGACCTAAGAAAATAATAATAATAAATAATGATAAATAAATAAAAAAAGAGCAGATACGTAAATTGTAAGAAATCATTAGATTCATCTAATTAATCAGAAATATATTGATATTTGTATGTATTAATATTATCAAAAAAAAAAAAAAAATCCAAATGTGAAAAAAATTTTTCCATGCTCTAATGTTGTTACGCTCAAGAAATTATTATGTTGGTAACGTTAAGCAGAAAGAGAATGGAAAATCCAATAAAGGCAATATTATAAAAAGTTAATTATATTATACAATAATATTGATTTTATACTTACGTACGTACTTAACTTCGAAACCCCATTCTTATTATATTTTAACATATTTTAACATATTCTTACAATTAAATCAATACGTCAAAATAAAAAAAAAGGCACGTCTTGAATGTGTGCCAGGTTGATGATGTATTTAACCTAAGCCCCAGCGTTCAAAATTAATTGTAATCAATCAATCAGAATACGTAGTACTTAAGGTTCAGGTTTCTGATTTCGAATTAAATTAGCACCGTATTTATTCCGAAACCTGTAAGCTTACCGATATAATAGTGAATTCATAAATTTTCTTTTAAAAGAAAAGAAACGATTGTTTATTTTATGATCATGATTGGTAGGGAGTTACTCGCTGAGCTTTTTTTTTTGAATATTGGAAAAACATAATTACATCGTAACACATGAAAAAAATAACAGAAAGAAAGTTTTTCATGATCATATGAGTTTGTCGGATAACTCCTATTTAATTTTCTGATTTCGAAATTTCAAAACAAAAATAGAACTTTTCAAACTCCCACTTATTTTCAAAATAAGTTAACTCTGAAACCCCCCTAATGAGGGGTTTCAGAATTAATTTTTTTTTAAAATAAGTGGGAGTTTAAAAGGACCGAATCAGAAAATTAAATATGCATAGTCGGTAATAAAATTAGCATTTTTTTTTGATAAACATTCATCGGTAAACGATTATGTAAATAAGTACATACTTTTTAAAAAAAATAGAATTTGTACGTTGCTTATTTTGAAATAAATACGTTACTTATTTTATCAGAAATCAGATGCCGAATCATTAATTCTGAAACCCCTAATATATAAATTTTTTACCCATCTCTACTAATATTTGTAAAAATTCAAATAAGGTGAAATCGGACAATTTAAAAAAAGAAAAGTCAGCACTAATGCTAATACTTAAATTGATAATACAGGCGGAACCTTGAATAAAACAAGTATAAACAAGGTATAATTAATGCATATAACAATTAAAACCACGACAATAAATTGCATGGTCTTATGTTTAAATCATTGTCCAGGCAAGGAAATTTATACTTTAAATAACATCCAACTAAACAATATTTTAAACACAAGAAAAAAAATATTATTTAAACAATTTTATAACTTTTTTTAAAAAAAGTTGTTAAATAACTTTTAAACATAAATTGAGAATAAGACTCGTACGTACGATGAATCTGGGTAGCGATAGTTATGATCCGGTTGATAGATCTGAAACGGGTTACCCCTATACTGTACATACGGGTATTTTGAGTAATAGCAATTTTTACCCGTTATTTTCCGCACATAATTGTAGCACTACCGATATTTTTTCGAGTCAACAATAAGCTACACCACAAATTCTACCAATTCATCAAAATAAATTATTTAATTGTACATTCATAAATTCTACAAATTCAGTGAATTCACATGAACTTACATATGTACTTACTGCAAAAACTATCTTTTCAAAGAACAAAAAAAAAGGATCCGATAATTTGACAATAAAGGTGTAGAGTGATTACATACCTACGTTATACAAATAATGCAACCGTATTTTAAGTGTTGCTTGCGTTGCGTAATGATAAAAACATAAAAACACTATAAATTTAACTGTTAACGTTAAAATTGTTTAATAAATATTCTAATTAAAAAAATTGAACATGGATTTCATAACATTCCTAGCAATTGTTGTTATTCTGTTAATAATTTATAATCATATTAATTATAAAGTTCCGGATGCTCTTAAAGATATTCACACGATCACATACTTTAGTTTAATTGTATCGATAATTACGAAACAAAACGGGAATGATAAACTTTATTTACGTTCTAAAGAATATTTTGAAAAGGATGGCATTGTAAAGGTAAATTTTATTGGCATATAGATGATAACTTTAAAATCTTAAAAAAATAAAAAATAAAAAAAACTTAATTTTTTATGTTTTTAGTTTTATTTTAGAGGAAAATGGATTTGCATGATAACTGATCCAACAATTGCTAAGGAAATATGTTTACGAACTGGTAGGTCGTTAATTAATCATTCGATATCTTTCATTAAAATTCAAGTTCTATTTAGCGATATAAATTTCTTTAAATTATTTCAAAGATATTTTTCCTAAGATAATGCTCAATGAGATAATACCAAATACTGCAGCTGAGCAACATTTTGGTATTAATGTTGTTCATTCAAATGATGATGTAAGCTTATTGCCATTTTGTTGCTTTAAATGTTCTTTGTGTCAAATTTTTTTTCATTACATTTTTTTTTTTGTTATTAGGTTTGGAAGCGACATAGGTTTTTTATATCTCTATTTATTTATTATAATATTGTTACGTATTTATATATTATGATGTAAATTTTATTTAGACGGATCTGTAATCCTGCTTTTAAAACTTTACCGGTACATCTTTTTGTTGAAAAGGGATTAAAGTTGATGGATATTTTAGAAAAAGTCGATAATAAGCCAATTGAAGTCAAAGATCTTATGCAAAGGTAATAAAACATCCTTTACAATCTTTATATTGGTTCATTAAAGTTTATAATTTTAAATATTGTAGGTTTACTTTAGACGTTCTTGGAAAAGTTGCCTTCGATTTTGATTTCAACGTAAAAAAAGAAAAATAATTAGTAAATATTAGTAAATATTAGATAATTTATAATTTAACAAAATTTTCAATTTAGACTCTCGAAGATCCGAATAATGCCTACGTAACAGCTTATAATGACGCTCATAATATGTTTAAAAGTCCATTTTATAATAATATTCTCCAAATTGATCGCATTCCAATCTTAAAACGATTGGCTTTTAGAAAAGTTAATAAGTTAAATAATTTATTTGATAATATTATTAAAGAAAAACGTAAATCCTTAGCTACTGGACATTCTAATGGTGACCTTTTGGAACTGATGTTAAAGGCTTGTGATGATCCAGATATTTCTGATAATCAAATGTTATCGGATACTGAGTTAAGAGTAAGATATGTTTGGATTTCTATTGCTATAATTTTAAATAATGAAATTTTAATTATGTTGATTTGATTTTAATAGCATAATTTAGCTGTTTTTATGGTTGCAGGTCATGACTCAAGTAAGCATTACGTTAATTTGAGAAGCTGTTTATAATTTTTACCAATACTATGCTGTATAATGAATTTTATTTTATAAATTTAGCTGCGATGGCTCTATCGACTCTTTTATATCTTTTAGCAATTCATAAAGTACAGTAAGATGTATATTTATATTTATTATATTTATTAAGCTGTGAAGATTCATAATTTTATTATCTAGAATGTTCAAGATAAAGTTCGAGAAGAGATCTTAAGAATACTTGGTGATAATCTAATCCCATCAGCAGAACAGCATGCATCATTAAATTATTTGAATATGGTTATTCGTGAAAATCTTAGATTATATCCTCCAGTCAGTACAATTTTAATATTTAAAAAATAAATAATTATATAACTTATAATTTTATTTTTACTGTTTAATAAATAGTTCGGAGGTTTGCCATTTCGTGCATCAACCGAAGACTTAAAATGTAAGAATTTTTTGATTCCAGCTGGTACACCCATTACGCTCTTCATATATGGGATCCAACATTCTCCAAAACTTTGGAAAGATCCTGAAGAGTTTTTGCCTGAGAGGTTTGAAAATGGACACGATAATTATTCTTGGTTAGCTTTTGGTGGTGGATCTAGAATGTTGGTTGAACTTTTTTGAGTTTGTCTTAAATTTTTTACTTTAGCGATAATGACTGAATTTAAATTTTTTAAAAATAGGTGCCTAGGAAACAACTTTTCTCTTATTGAACAGAGAATAGTGCTGTGTTTGTTGTGTATGTGTTTAATTTCAATTAAATGAAATTAAATGAATTTTTTCTTTTTTTTTTATGTGATTACTTACATGCATAATACATTTTTAGTGCGTAAATATGAAATATCATTGCCACAAAATAGCATTCATAAAAATGAATTAAAACTCGAGAATGAAATGGCTCCATATCCGATTGATCTTATTTTTAAAAGAAGGAATGAATAATGATCATTTACTTTTTTAACTGAATTCCCTATTCTTACGTAAATTTCTTACATAAATTTAACTATTTACCGTCTTTGTTTGATTATTACTTAAAATTATCTAACGTATCTGAATAAATTTCATCACATGTTTTTTCCCAGTTAAAAGATCTATATTAATAGAATTATTTGTTTTATTTGTTTACTCGACATTAAGCACTCGAAAAACTTGATAAATTAAAGTGAATATTGAGTTTTTCTATTTTCGGCCATCACTACGTATCTTCATTAAAAATCAATATATAAATTTGATGTATATATCTAATATAATAGCTATTTTAAGTATATTATATATGTTAGATTTATGTTAGATTTATTAATTATGTAGTTATATTGGTTTTATTGGTTATAAGGTTATTTCTAATATATTTGTTCCTAAAATTAATTATAAAGGGCACTTAAATACATGAATCTTCAAAATATTTTAAAATCTATTAGTTAAATTTTAGCTATACTTTACTAAATAGCATACAGTAGTAGAATTTGTCTAACTTTTAGAAAATTGCTTAAATGATTACTAAAATTTTTTCTGAAGTAATAATAACACGTATTATCTGTACATTATTTAAATTTTTATTAGCCGACTATCAGATCCATTTTTTTTCAAATCTACCAATAAGCATTTCAGATTTGTTTAATTTTTTAATCATAAGTTTTATTTTTTAACAAGACAATTTTTGTATATATAGATTACAGATCATAGAATATTATAATGTTTAATTTCTTGTTTAGTCTTACATAAATCTATTAAAATGTTTAATCAAATCATTAAACCAAATAAAAAAAAAAAAACACCGTTGTAGTTTTAATCATAATTTATCAAAAATAAAATTTTAAATAAAGGTCTCTTTTTTAAGATGACAAACAGCACATAATATTTATTTAGAAGATAATAGGCTATAAAAAATAATAAATTATTAATTATTTTTAAAAAAGTACAATAAAGTTCACACAAATGAAAATACTAAAAATAAATTTTTTTATTTGATCTGAAAAATTCTAAAAACATATGGCGATATCTATATGTATAGTACTTAGTAATTTTGTATACTTTAACCTAATATTATATTTTTATTAAAGTATTTCGATTTTTTTACATAATAAATGTTAACATTTATTAAAGATAAAATCTTTTTAAATTGATTTTTTATCAAATAGATAATTCCAATCAGGCAGATTTCTGTCTACGTATGAGCTACGAATTTATATTAATTATCCTTGTTATATTCTGTTTTTGTATTCCGGATCCAAGAACTTTAAATCAGTTCTTCAAATAATACTATACATATTTGTAAAATATCACACTGATCAATCAATTAAATTACGAATAAATTAATATTTATCCGAACATCTAATGCCATCCATAATTATTTAAACACTTGGATCAGGTTGGGTCAAGACATTTGAATATATGGATTTTGTAAATTTTATATTTTTGAATAACATTTCATTTTTTGTAGCATACATAAAGATTTATAGATTCATAAGAAATTTATATATTCATGAATAACACGTTCAAACAGAAAAAATAAAATAAAATCTATGAATTATTTACTTTGTCAACCAGAATATTTATCAAATTAGGATCTGACAAAGTACTTAAATCTCCTAATTGATCAATTTCATCACAAATAATCTTTCTTAAAATACGTCTCATAATTTTTCCACTTCTAGTCTTTGGAAGATCAGAAACAATATAAATCTTTTTGGGTGCTGCAAATGGACCAATAACCTTACGTACTTGTAAGATTAGATCATTTACATCTGTACTACAATTTGGTTTCAAAGTGACAAAAGCTTGTATACTTTGTCCTGTTAAATCATCAGGTACTCCAATAACAGCTGCTTCGGCAACCGAAGGATGAAAAATTAAAGCTGACTCGATTTCTGCTGTTGATAATCTATGACCTGATACATTGATAACATCATCTACACGTCCACGAATCCAATAATAACCATCACGATCTCGAGTAACACTGTCACCTGTAAAGTAATAACCTTTATAGGGCTTTAAATATGTATTAAAATATCGATTATGGTCATTGTAAATTGTGCGTGCTATTGATGGCCAAGGTTGTCGTATGGCTAAAACACCTTCTGCTTCCGTTGTTTTTATCTCTCCACCAGTAGTTGAATCCAATACAGCAAGATCTATACCAAAGAAGGGTAAAGTCGCAGAACCAGGTTTTGATGAAATGGCGCAGGGTAATGGTGAAATAATTGTTGAACCAGTTTCTGTTTGCCAATAAGTATCAATTACTGAGCAAACATTTCTTCCAACAACTTCATTATACCACTTCCAAGAATCGGGATCAATAGGTTCACCAACTGATCCGATAATTCTTAAACTTGAAAGATCATGACAATCAATATGTTCACGACCAAATCTACGTAATAAACGAATAGCAGTCGGTGCAGTATAAAAATGTGTAATCTTATGCTTGGCAACAACTTCCCAATATCGACTTGGTGTAGGATAAAGAGGCGTTGATTCAAACAAGATTGTAGTACCTCCACATGCCAATGGACCGTAGATGATATAAGTATGACCGGTAACCCAACCAATATCAGCCATACAGGCAAAGGTATCACCTTCATGATAATCAAAAACATATTTGAATGTGGTTGCCGCACTTAATAAATAACCAGCAGTAGTATGAAGAATTCCCTTTGGTTTTCCAGTTGATCCGGAAGTATAAAGTAAAAAAAGTGGATCCTCTGCATTGACAATTTCTGGAGAACAATAAGGACGGTATTTTTCAATTTCTTCATGCCACCATACATCACGAGGAGTAATGATCGAAACTTCTGAGCTAGTACGACGGAAAATAAAAACTCGTTCAACAGTAGAACATTCTTTTAACGCATCGTCCACAATATTTTTTATATTAATAGTTTTTCCACCACGACGACTTTCATCAGCAGTGATGACAAATTTACTAGATGCGTCTTGAATGCGACCACGTAAAGATTCAGCAGAAAAACCGGCAAATACTACAGAATGTACAGCACCTAAACGAGCACATGCCAAGAAAGCAACAACAGCTTCTGGAGTCATTGGCATATAAATGGTGACAATATCACCTTTTTTTACACCATGAGCTTTCAATACATTGGCGAAACGGCAAACATCACGTAAAAGTTCACCATATGTAATTTTTCGATCCTGACCAGGTTCATCAGCTTCATAAATTATGGCAACCTATCAAAGCAATTTAAATATTGTTAAGTATTCATTTGACTAAATTAATAATCGAACCTTAATTTTTTTAATACAGTACCTTATCGGAATTTTTAATAGCATGTCTATCTACGCAATTATAAGCAGCGTTCAATCGACCTTCAAGAAACCAAGCGATATTACCATGTTCAAAACCTCCGGAAAAAACAGTTTGGAAAGGTGTAACCCAAGTAAGAGTTTCTCTAGCGATCTATTTAATCATAAACATAATATAGTGACAGTCGAAAATATTGCATCATTTAATAAAAAATTTAGTATAATATTTTCATTTAAAAAAATTTAAAAGATGCAATGTTTTCGACTGTCAATACAAATGTAAATAATAAATTATATTAGACATAACAATTCTTTTTTAGATTACATGATAATTTATCTCACTAATAATTCAATTAAAATTAAATTTTACTTTTCCCCAAAATCCTATAGGATTTTTAATACTTTCATCATAAAGCTTTTTATATTGTTCGATAGAATTAATATGAGGTGTAGGACTTAAAGATGGGTCTAAAAGCCGTTTTGGAACGGGATAAAGTTTCGCTTCTGTGCTGAGATATTCTGTAGACATTGTATAGAATTTGTTAAAAACCAAAAATAAAAAGTTAGTTGAACTGTAATGAAATTTATGTGTTAACAGTTTTAACGTAGTTAATTTAGAAAAAATTGCATCATAATTGCGTCATTAACATATTTTTTTTTAGCATTTTATAAAAATGTATAAAGGAAAGTAATTACATCATATTTGAAGAATTTTGTTAGATTGGACTATTAAATAAGAAAAAAAAACTTACTGATTTGTCTAACGGCACGGCGCAAAAGCTATTATTAAAAAAATAAAAAAATGTCATTAGACATATAAAGCCATTAAAAATTATTTATTATATATGCGAAGGGTATATTACATTTTAATCGGTATAAATTTTAAAACTACGTCGAATCTTAACGAATATTTTATAGCGGAATCTATGTTCTATGATCAATTCAATTTGACGAAAGTCAACAGATCGAAAGGATTACTAAGCAAGGATTTGCCGGAAGCGTGAACTAACGCAGGTAAGATATAGTAAGTTTTAATTAATTACTAACCTATTTTGGCCACGATGAAGTCATTAAAATAATACCAAATAATACTAGATTAGGTAGTTGCATGATGTTGTCGCGCTAAAACCAGTAATTCTGATTTTTAAGTTGAAAATTAAATTAGCGTTAGATAATAAATTTTTATATGATAAAATAATTTAAAAATCTTATAAAAACATTTTACTATATAAATAAAAATTAAGAAATTTTGATTTGTTGGATAATATTTTCGTGTACCCTCATGAGCCGCCATTTTGACCATTTTATTCAAAAAGGAAATTGTTTATTCAAAATGTATTTGAATTGTATTAGTATGTTACGTTCTTATGAGCAATTCCCCCAAATTTTTTATCAATTTAATATTAGATTTATAGAAAAAAAAGTAGAGCTTTGCATTATTGTTATTTTATTTAAAAAAAGTTTGAGAATTAGATTTTTTAAAATTTACTATATACTATGTACTCAACCCTAGCCTAATCCTGGCCCCAAACCTATTACTATAGCGTTTGCTGGTTGGTCAAATAATCCGGCGATGATCACCGCCGTGACATTAAGAAATTGTCTTTATTTTATACAGTAGTAGTAAATATAAAATTATTTTCGCTCGGATCCCTTTATTAGATATTATACGAAGATACATGATGGGAGTAGTGCTCCACTTCATCACTTTCTCTTCTGTTATAACATATTGTGCTCAATAATAGCTTTATGCTACGTGATTTTAATCACGTGACAAAGAATAAATGAGGACCGTGTGGCGCATCAACTCGTTACTTCCATGAGTTCGATCCCACGTTATGGTGCGGCGCATTCAACTCATTTGATGTGAAATATTTACTTACTCATCACAACGAGCAGGTGCTGGGTGCAATGGCTGGCTTGGGTGGGAGAGGCGGGAGGAGCCATATTTATAATCGGGCAACGAAGAGAACAAGTGAATAAGACAAGCGAAGAAAGAAAGCACTAAAACTCACAATCTACACATTCATGTATCTTTATAATCTCTGTCGCATGTTAACTACATGCATATCTAATCTCATTCACATGCATACCTATAATCTCTATCACATGCATACCTATAATCTCTACCGCATACGTACAGTACGTACCTATTGTCTTTTCATACAAGCCTCTTACCATACAAACCACAAGTGGTGATCCTCGCGATAACCCTAGCGTGACTATCGTCAACGCATAGGGATATTTTGAACAAAAACTTAAGGATGACTTATGTCACATGAAGTTTTGATTTTTGTACCACACACTGTAGTACTTATAAATGCTAATTATTACGTACTGTCGGAGGCTAAATGAGAAGATGAGGATGGCTATCAAACTACACAAAACCACAACGAAACCAAAACAAGAGGCGGTGATTAAGATTTGGCAAAGGTAAGGCGAATTAGTTTGTTATGTGTATGAATATGGGGCAAAACGAATGACTTTTGTATGCAAAATATCGGATTTTATTTGAATCGTATCTTTTATTATTTTTTTTTGAAGGCGAACTTCAATGCTTTTACAACTGTAGCAAATCGCTACCGTAACGGAGTTTTACAGTATACCGTGAACTTGTGGGTCTTTACTATTTAAATTCACTTGCTTGGCTAATTACGATGACTGGAGTATCGTACAGGTACTCCACCGTCCGATTAGATACTTTAATAGTATGGACGACCACTTAGTGTATATACTAAAACTGCCTAAGCTAAAAGCTATCGAAGCTATTTTATTATTATTATTTATTGTTCGCTTTAAATATTACAAGATTTAACCCGGATATTAATATATCCGGTTACACGCATTAGACTATCTACAATTAGACTTTTAATTAAATCCTGCATTATGCAAATTCCGATCACGCACGCCATCAATATACCCGATCCTGATCGGATATCAGCACTACAAAATCACGGGGTATCAAATTAAACTGTGACACTACTCTATTTATACAGAAAATGAAAGAAAAATGAAAAATGAAAAGAAGCTAAAAAATTCTAAGTCTCGCCCCTTATGCTGTTATTATGACATTATTACATCCCTTTGCTCCATCTTTTCCCACAGTAATGTCAGTGGCGTTCTAACACCGCCACATCTTTTTCCTGCTTTGCCCTATAAAGGTGGACAATCATTAGACATCATCCCTTTTTTGGCCTTCCACGGACTTGATTTTTTTTCCGCCCAGTCTTCTTTTCCCAGTTTACCTTGGTCTTGGGATCTTACAGCCTCAATTTAGCCACGTTTTAGCCACAATTTAGCCATGGTCCTCTCCAAAGGCTGATGTGGCAGTTTCTCAATTAAGATTTCTTTGGGGCTTTGCCAGGGCCATTACTTCTTAGGGCAAATTATAACATATGCAAGTCAAGTACAGTAGTTTTTTTTTTTTTGTCGTTTTCATAACATCATGGGATTGGCATTTTTGTCTCCGACAGTACATACGTACAGTACATATCAGATACCAGATATACCAATTTATGTTGTAAAACTGATTTAGGCATAAGCTCTGATGTTTCTCATCTTTAGAAAGTTCAATATATCATGTAAATACAAAGTTTTAAACTTATGACTTTGGTAATATTACTATTTTATTGTAAAATTTGAATGATTGAATTACATGCCTTTAACCGAACCAACTTTTTGACCAGTGTAAAAGTAAGAAATGATCCGGAGTCATGAAATATAAGTGTCACAGATATCAACTATCATTGAAACTAAACTAAACAATATTCTCCACTACTGAACTCTATCAACCCTAATGGTTGAAGACACGATCGAGGCGTGGATGACTTGGTCTAAATTATTAGGGCCAAATAGAGCTCTGGATTATGTCATGAGGCTCTACTTCTGAATTATGAGTTTAGACTACTAACTCTATGCAAATTTGATTATCAGGAGAGTTTAAGCGAAACTTTTAAAGTCAGAATACTTGACTCTCTATAAGTTGAACTCTAATAAGTTCTACAAGTTTTTTATTTAACTCTTTGACTGATCAGGGAGAAAAATTCAAAGTCAAAATTTAGTGCACGCACCAAATTTTAGACTTAGTGTGCGCAAAGTTTGCTACAGCAGAACAGGGTTAACTATATTGCGCACATTATTTTAAAATAATTATTAAAAAATTACGTGTGCTTTGCGTACAATATTATATTTTTTTTTGTGCGCAAAAAAATTTTTATGTGCGGACCACACAAGCGCACATCAAATTTTTCTCCCTGTGACTGACTTAATTGTAAATGCCAAAGGCATCATATTTATAGTTTCTATACTACTAATAGTTGCATAGTGGCTATGTTTGCTATGCTATATTCTCGAATCACTATATACATTTTGTACATAGTTTCTATATACAAAATATATATGGTTTCTATGTACAAAATGTACATAGTTTCTATGTACAAAATATACATAGTTTCTATATACAAAATTTACATAGTTTCTATATACATAGTTTCTATTTACAAAATGTATATTAATTCATGTGCAAAAAAATTTATTCCAAGTCACGATTTACCCTTTTACACTAGTCATAGGATTTTGATTAGTTCTAATATGTAGAGGGCTGATGTGCATAGAACTGCATATAAATACATAGAAAATTGCATTTGATAATAAATGTATTCTTATACAAAATATTAACTATTTCAATATTTTCATCTAATTCATACTGATTTGCTTTTTGGTTTATATTAAAATTCATTATTATTTATATCATAAAGATAAATAAAATACTTTTATAGATTTTTACTATGATTTTTGTTTCTAATTTTCAATACAAATATTAATAAAAACTTGGTTGTTTGGAATTATAACTTGAGTTATATTTTCTTTACTCTGTTCAATAAATTCTTGTTTATCTTGAACTTTTTTTTTATAAGCACCTCCTTGTATAATATATTTATTATAAAAGCTTATTTTATATTTTGCTTTTTGTCAAATCTGTTGCAAAATTACTAATCATGCCCAAATCAAAAACTTATCAAAAATTTATTGTATCGGCCAAATAATATTCAGTCAATTTTTTAATAGATGTTCCAAAATAATGAAAACAACTATAAAACTTAATAGCTCCGAATGTAGTAACTAGTTAAGCTTTATAGTGTTGGTATGCCAACACTATTAGTTATACAATATAAGCTACAATGTAATATTAAATTTTATACAAGAATTTTTTGAAATTTTGGGTAGAGAAGAGTTTGAAGATATTATTTAAGAAAATTTTTATAATACATAAAAACTAAATTTGAATTATTGATTTAACCATTTATCCTAGCTCTAATCCCTGGCAAGATATACTGATTATGCTATTTATGTAATGCAGTCATGTTCTACGATCCCAATTTTAACTACCCAGTACAAAAAATTTCCGAGAACTGGATCAGCCCATGATAGTATATATCCATATATATATGTGTCAACCTGATCTAGTATAAACAAATTCACACATCACATATATAAATAAATACTAGCTTAGCTGTTTCTTTTTTTTGG